CCAATGGATCTCCGCTTTTTGTGAGAAAGGTGAATGTGAGGGATGGTTGCACCCCCAGGGTTATTCAACTCGACAACGGCTGCAAGATTCGGGCTTTTTTCTCAGGTCAAGTCAAATCAATCCTTGTGGAACATGAAATGGAGACTATTATGCTACGTACTTTTTATGTAACGGAGCAAGACCACACTTTCAGTACCAGATGGTTTTATGACGGGGAAGTTGTACAAACCAAGAAGAAGGGTAAGCAGTTCCCGATTATCAGAAATTCTGCGACAACTGGACACAATTTACAGGGATATACTGCATTGTGGTTATTGGTACATTCTTGGCGATACTGTCAAAACTGGGCTTACGTGGTGTTATAAAGGGTGCGAACCATGAGTGGTTTTTTCTTATTGAAGAAGCTGGATTGGGATCCAAAGAACTTTGCCATGCCACAACGAATGAGAGACATGCTTGCAAGATTTAAGGTTACTATTGGGCTTTCTGTCTAGGAGAAGATCAATACGATAAAATGTTCCAGCGAGAAGACAGGTTCTTGTTATAAGTATGAACGGTGGGGATATAGGGTAAATTATCTCTATATATAAAAATCTTTATTACTACAACTACCTTTCTTAGATTCGCATTGCACCTCGTACGTCATTCAATGTCAGTCATTGAAAAAAGATCAAGCGTCCAATCAAATCACAGGCGACCCCGAAAAATTAGGAGCCAACTTTTAAAATGTGAAGAACGCAAGGCAACTTTCATGTGCATGTACATGCGTTAACTGTATCCCGTCAATACAATACTAGTCGAATACGTAGACTTCTACAGGGCCTTCTAAGTAATGCGCGCCGGGTATAATTCAAACCTCTGCCCCCATCGGTACCATTACCCCTAAAGCAAATCGTCTCCAGGAGACGAGATACCGGGGCTGGAATTACTCGTGACTAAATGAGAGGCGCAGCTGAATGAGAAAAATGACACCAAATAAATGCCACAGCTTGCACTGAAAGTAAAGGCTCAGCGACTCAGCCACCCGTACAACTAACTGATCCAGTGTCCAAAGAAGCATGGAGGCATTCACAAGGTATGGATGTTTTGAAAGATTCTGTTCTTCATAGTTAGATTGTCAGAAGTTGGAGTTTGGAGCTACTTGCTCTGTACCAGCAGCTAGCTAGTGGGCTTTAACCCAAAGCTTTGTCATTGGCTCCCGTGTGCAAGACGGATCTCTCCCATTTGTGTATCCCCAACCATTTTCTGGAGCGGTCTTCGGGATTTACAGAATATAATTATATCCAGCAGTAATAATCCAATTAAGTGACACTTAGATCAGCGATTTTGGTACTTAGGCAGCCGGACCGGCGATTCAACATCCCCTTATACAAACCTGCCATTTCACTCAGATCGTAAAATGAATGACTGCACAGGTCGATAATATGCAGTAATTAACTAGGGGTGATGTCGACCATTGTTTAGTGTGTCGATTACAGTACGAAAAGCAGTCCTGGGTAAGAAAAATATGTCCACTATAAAACTTTAAGTACACTGGCGAGGCCTAATCCTCGTACACAACACTAGACAGTGCTTTCATCAGAGAACTCCACAAGTCGCACTCGTGGTCTCTTCTCCAGATGAACTCAAATAAACAGCCTTGCAGCTGTTTCTTGGTTCTACAGCGTTCCGGGACATTCCTTTTTACACCGTACCACGTACCCTCAATAGTGTTTGTGTGAACACCGGTTACAGGGTCCTTAAATCCCCGTTCATGGTTGACTCGCTGGTGCTCATACATGGGTAAAGTGTAGCCATAACCGGCATCAATGGTGACATCCTCGATCCTGTTATAAGCTCCCCAACAGTCACTACGTATAATAGAACCAGGGGCAATGAACTGCTTAATTAGAGGAATCAGAGTCAAAGCATCCCTTTTGTCCACCACTACAGCGAAGCAGCGACGTTCCGGAGTGTTCTCTACCCCACCAAAGACCCAAGAACCTTCTACTCTGTGACCCCTGTTATACTTCCGCTTTCCGAATTTGGATTCGTCTATCTCCACAATAATGTCCATTCCACCAATTTGCCCGTTATAGTGTCGTACTAGAGTACTAATGAACTCACGTACGTACTTCAACCAGTACGTGCCCTTACCTTTCGACCAGCTTAAATAAATACAGATTTGCTGGTGCGAAGAACCAGTGAGCCAGTAGTATAGAAATTTTAGTATCTCCTTTCTACCCCCACGAACAGCATCAAAGAAAGTCCCCTTATACACAGATTGACACCAGTCGCTCCCGTGGGTTCTTCGACATTCCCGTCTTCTACACCGGAGAACAGGTCCACTTTTCTTAAAAGTCGGTTCCCCAAGCTGACCATTACAACGGGGACAAACAGTAGGCATATTATTTAAAGCACCGTTCTTTTTTAAATAGATGAAACACTCTTTCTCGTCACGGAAAGCTGTCTCTAAATCTTTCAAAGGGGGGATACCGCTTTGGCGATTGAGATTACGGTACCTATCACCGGCGAGTTGTTCATTGAGGCTCCCATTGGCGACACTTTGGTCAGCAGGGAACACAACTCTTTGGCGAGGAGGTGGTGGTTCGTCAACACTCTCGACATCACTGACCACATTAGCAGCCATTTTGGCGAATTTATGAGGAAATAGCGAGTGACCAAATTGGCCGCTTCGCAGAAAAGTGATGTTTCAAATTTGAATTTCCCAGGTCCCAGCGATACAAAGAACAGAGCCGGGTCCCCTAATTGACAGACCGGCGAAACAGCATACTATGAAGGAATTACAGGAACATGACTTTAAGTGACAGACCCGGAAACAGAAGTCAACACAGACGCACCAAAGATCAAGGGGAAGTTGACCGGTATAGACAATTGTACAGTCCGGCGAAAATTTAAATTTGAAACTTGAAATTGGTCCACACGTACCTCCATCGCAAACTTTGGTGCTCGAGCTCACAATTTCTGCCAAAGAAAATGCCTTCCCCAACTGTTGAAACTGTGGAGTCCTCTGAAGATGAGGTGGAGATAAACCAATCTGCATTCCTCCCTAACCAAGATGAGGCTGATGGGTTGAACAATGCTGGTGGTGGTGGCATCCAGGGGAGCGACTTTTTCATTCTCCCCACCCAATACTCCAGTAGTGATGAGTCTGAAGATGAGGGGGAGGTGCAAAAGTTGACAGATTTGACAAGCGATAGCGACAATCCCGTGGAGAAGGTAAGAGCAGCAAAAAGAGTTAAGAGGCAACAGGACAGTAAGCGAAAAGCTGAGAACTATCACAATTGGTTAAAGAACGGGGCTTCCTCTAAGTCAGACAGTAGCCAAGAGGAGAACCGGGATTATTGGACCCACAGTACAGCGGGAAGCAATAGTGCACCAAAGAAGAATCCAGCGGTGACAGCTGGACTTAAAAAAGTCCCTCCCTCTAATAGTAAAGACCCTCCAAAGAAATCAATTACCCTTAAATCCGCTGTTGGTAGTCTTGGGCTAGAAGTAAAGAACACCGGGACTATTGTTAAGAACCACACTTCTCGAAAGTTCAAAGAGTTTACGAAATCTCAGAAAAAGATGCACGAGGAACTTAAGAAGCAACAAGAGGACCTCATTCGCTTATGGACCCATACAAGAGATAACTCGCATGTCTTGTTGAAGCTGATTCGTGGAGTACAATCAAGTGTTAACGCAATTTTAAAAAGAAATTGTGGACAAGTGCCCCCACAAAAATGAGAAAGTCGCTGGAAAAGTGTCCAAACCAGTAGGAATTAGAGGCAGCGGAGGCCCCAAAAATTTCCGAGCACGTGGTCATGATGGACAATATCCCCCACTCAACCAGCAGGGAAACTTAACGAACACCAACCAGCAGGGTAATATTACAGCATCGCCACATGTTACAGTGAACCACAATGTGTACAACCACCATGCCGAAGCCAGATCCATGGCGGGGATGACAGTTGAAGTGAAGCGCCCTAAAGCCCAAGTTGAAGTAAAACCAGGATTTGGCGTGGCACCGAAAGGGGAAAGCACGCGCAAGAGAAGGCTTACAGCAATGTCGATGGCCTTAATCGCTGAACAGGAGAAGCAGGCGCACCTCAGGCGACACCATCTTGAACTTGACAGGCGACTCAGCGGAAACAGCCATAAGTCCAGCTGGGCACCGGCACCCCCAAAAGATGACCCTTATTTTGGTAAGAACACTCATTTTTAGGCTCTTATCGGCCAATCCCATCTTTCATTTGATTTTCTCGGTGATTTGGTGGGCATTGTTGTACTAAAAATCGAGTGTGAACACAGATGTCAGGCGGATGTATATTAAAACAGTAGTTTTAATAAGCCTAATTAAACAGACCAGTAACAGTTGAAAAGCCTAACGATTGTGTAGTTAAATCCAGAATCGGCCTAAGTAGAATATTTTCCACAGTAAGATTTATGTCGAGTCAGGTTTCACTAAGGAATGCTGCTCTCGCTAAGTAAATCAGCGATCGACAAGAAAAAAGTTGTCGAGTCAGTGACTGTCTCTAAGTAAATGGATTTACACAGGATTGGTCCAATTCGATACTTAGTACGTTAGCTATTGTAATTAATATTTCCGATTTCTGACAGACCGCTCCAGAAAATGGTGGGGATACGCTAATAGGAGATACCATGCAACTCTAGCAATCCGGTTGAACAAAAAAGTGAGCTCATCATGGTGACATTCCATTTTTCCACCTCCAATTTTCAGATGACAGATTCTGCCAGATGGAAAATGACAGGTGATGAGCAATAACAGATCCACTGATGAGTATGGATTCTGGACCCATAGCACTCTCTAACACCTTACAACGCCCTTCATGGGCCTCTGAGAGTTGTCTGGAATGATTAGCTGGCAGCTTGGCTAGTGTTGTTGTCTGAATTGCTGCTTGAGGTGTCGTCGACGGAGCCGCGGAGGAGCTGCGGCGGATGCGGAGATCACCGATCGCACAGTCGAGCCGGTCGAGCCGAATCGAATCACGAATGGAGTAAAATTTAGTGACGTCATGACGAGTAGATCGACTCGACTCGACTCGACTCAGGACTCGTTAGATTACGTCTCCTCGAGACGACGCTCCTTTTAGATTCCCCCTCAGTTGCACTCCGAAACCGATTCGCTCGCGTTTACTGTGTAAAATAGTGTACCCGCACTTCAGTTGCAGAATCAACGGTCA